GGGTGGGGATGGGGGGGTGTTCAGTTGTTTCCCTTTCTCCACCATCCTCATCCTCAATTAGTGTCTCTTCAAGAAGAACTAGTAGGGCCTTTTGTTTTTCCTGATTCTGCTTGTGACTAATTCTCCACATGACAGTTAGCAAGAGTGATAGTTAGCAAGAGTGATCTACTTGGGTAAGTCAGCTGTATAACACCAACACTCAAATTTCTTGCTGGCTTCTTAGTACAATAAGAATAATCTCTAAAGTCTTTACCCTTAATTACAAGGTTGGATCATGTATTTCTGGACTCTCTCATTATACTTCTCATTTCTCTCTTCCTTACATCTTCGTTCTCACCTATAGATGTCAAGCAAACACCACCTCATAGCTTTTTCCTTTGCTGCCATCTTGTCTGAATTGCTCACCTATTCTCACATCCTCACAGATGGACTATAACCTCAATATTTATTCAGGACTCTCTTAATAAGTGAATTCCAGATACATAACATCTGAACTAATAAAGCTCACCTGTCTCTTTTTCCACTTTTTCTCCTCTAAATTTTCCCTTTCTAATCTTTAATACTGCTTTTATTTACATACATACCTACTTATACTTTCTTTTCCTACAACGTTCCATTCTGCCACCTCTCACCCCCACTGGAAGGTAATAAAAGCAAGTCCTTTATCACTTTTGCTTTATCCTCAGCATCTAGAACTGCACTGATATACATAATGAAAATATTCATTGTGTATGAATGAGTGATGACATAACTCCTTAATCTAGTTTTAATAATGGCTTTACAATGTGTTAAAAATCATTAATATGCATTTACATTTTTATACTAATTTCTGTATTTATACTAATTTTCTTTCAATAAAGTCAGACTGAAGAGGGATCAATAAATAATTTTGTATAATAGTTTATTTTTAACATCACTTTGTACATTTTTTTTCATCTCAATTGTAATCCCCGTGGGTTTCCCATCACCAAGTCACCCTGTGCCATCACCATAGACCCTCAATAAATGATTTTGATAAAAATGATAATGCTGATCTTAAACTACTTTCTAACATAAACTATAGCTATCATGATGGAGTAGTGAACTCTAAAACACATTCTTTTTATGGAAGACTTTAAATGAAGATGCTTAAGACTCGCTGAGATGCAAACCAATATTGAAATGACTTCCTGTAAGTTATTGAATCTGTATTTGGCAAATATGGAAGCTTCTTCTTTGGTGTAAAATTTTATATTAAGAAGGAGCTACATCTGTGGTATAAATTAATTTGACAAGATTTGGGGTCAGTTGAATTTAAACAACTATGGATTCAGTTTGTAGGCCTATACTAACTTTAACAACAGTACATTTATTTTCTTTCTCTTCTACATCATGCTGTTGGCTGACAGTGCATTTACTAGTTTACCATACTTATAGGAGTATATTTTTAAGATCTACATACAGGTCTCTATATGTTTTCAGTTTTTGGTGACTGAATGACTAATTTCATTTATCAGGCTTACATTATCTGCTTCCTTTCCAATTTTCCAATCTTATCTGTATCATATTTCTCTTATACTTATGTTCCAACCTACCAGTCTCTCTTCTTTCCTGAAACATGCCAGGTCTCTCCTTCCTTGGTGTATTGGAATCTAAACCCACTCTTTATAAAGTTTTTCATTTGGCTAACTTTTATTTTCTAGCCCTTAAATATTAAATATTAGTTTTAAGATTAAAGATTATAAGATTAAATATTAGTTTTTTTTTTTTAAGATTTATTTATTTGTACATACAGAACTGGGGTACAGGCCAGAGGTCCAGGGGTGGAGAGAGGCTTCACCAGAGGTAGAGTGGGGAGCAGAACAGGCAGATCTACAAAGTACACTGCTGAGGGGAGCAGCAGGCGGGTCAGGAGAGGTCTGCCACACCATGTGGTTACCTCCGGGGCAGGTGGGAATCGAACTCATGCAGAAGTGGCTTTTAGCTTCTTAACTTAGTGCTGTGCTTTAACCCGCTGCGCCATCAGGGAGGGCCCCAAATATTAGTTTGTTTTTTTTTTTTTAAAGAAGTACTGAGTTCTCTTTCTCATAGCTCCCTACCTCAATCCTAATTAGGGTTCTCCTTTTCCCCCCTTTAATAGCATCCTTTTTCCTTATTAGGATTAATGACATTTGGAAAATGTGACTACTTTTAAGTATGTCACTCTCATCTCAGTCTTTCCTGTCTCGAAGTTTTTGTCTCAAAAGTTTTTATATTCCAAGTTATATGAGAAAAGAAACTTTATCTGTTTTAATCACAAAATGTCCTATGTCAAACATGTGTAAATATTTATTTAATGAGTATAAAAAGAAATTAATTTTGCTCACATATTTTTCTCCTATCTATGAGGGTATTAAGAGCAACTAGGTTAAAAGCCAATCTGCAGGTAGATTAAAAGCTGTACCATATCATAAAAAGAAATTTACATTATATAGTCTGGTTCCCAAATGTTTTCTTTCAATTATATCGATAAGTGATTTTCTGTGATAAGCCAATTAGGCCTATCAGCCACCCCACAGTCAGGTATTCTTTCAGTTAGATGATCTTTTAGTCTATGTCTTAAAATTCTCTGTAAGAGGAGAAAACATGGAATCTTACTTTTGTAATAAAAGAATCAGATAAATTATTATTATTAAAAGTAGGCAATAATCCTAATCAAATATGCCCTTAAAACTTAAAATGTGGCCCTTCCTTGTGGTGCAGCGGATTAAAGCACTGCACTAAGAAGCTTCAGACACTTCTGCATGAGTTCGATCCCTGCCTGCCCCAGAGGAGACCTCTCCTGACCTGCCTGCTGCTCCCCTCAGCAGTGTACTTCGTTGATCTGCCTGTTCTGCTACCCGCTCTGTCCCTGGTGAATCCTCTCACCCTCCGCATCTCTGGCCTGTACCCCAGTTCTGTATGAATAAATAAATAAATCTTTAAAAAAAACTTAAAATGTAACCAATATGAATTCAGGTTCTGAACATATTACAAAAAATTTATAGATTATTAAATGTATTTATGTCTAATATGCATACAAACACTTAAAAAGTCATACTCACTTAAAAACCAGCATGATAGTGGGGGTGCTTCCCAATGAAGTGAAAAAATTTGCCACCATTTGCACTCCTACATAAATATAGAACTTCCTCATACACCGATCATCTCTTGGACATATACCCAAATGAGCCAAGTTACTTGTATTCTGGAAATCAGTTTCTCCCACACAACTACAGTTATAAAACTCCTAAAAAACAGTTTTTGAAAAATGACAGAATATGTTTGAAAAATGACAGAATATGTTTGTTAAATATATTCCATTATATTTTAAGAAATCTTATTCATTAAAGCTAAAATATTCTAATAAGTTGACTACTTTATAGTTAAAAGGTAAAACAGTTTCCTAGATTTCTTCTAGATAAGAAAATGTAATTCCTATAAGCATTTATTTAATTAATCTGTTAATTTAAAAACTGGGAAAGAATGGAAGAAATTAGTGTCTCAAACACTAATTAACAAAAACATTGTTAATATACAATATTTTAAATCTCTCGTTCCTACTCATTTTTACTTTACCTGGTACACTTACTTACTGTATTTAACAAACTGCACAAAACACAGAGAGTGTCCCTAGGCTAGGATCACCCAGAGAACCCAGAAAATATAGCAGTGTGAAGTGGGACAAAACTTGAGACTACAACTACCATTCACAGTGGAAGGGAGACCAGGAAAAGGGGCAGAGAAAGGGAGGTGAGGCAGGCAGGGGGCTAGAGCTTGACTTTGACCAGCACATACAATGTCATAACGACTGACCACTGGAGAGCTGATATCATCATGAAAGAGGGTAAAAATAAGAGAATTCCCAAAGTGTTACAGGATAGAAGCAGAAATTTTCGAAACAAATGATTTTAGATTTAATTTGGCAGTTTTTACAGATAGGTGTCTTCAACAAATTCTCTTCTGAGCATAGGCTAAATTAAGGTTTAAGGGAAATTTACTTGGAATATATTAGTGCTAGCCACTAATGACTAAAGGAGGAATGGTGAAAAAATTTGGATCTAAACTTACCTACCTATCAAGCTTTACTTTTTCACTAGGAATAATATGGAGTGATTCTTTATGTAAAAAGTCTGTTGACCAATAAAACCAAATTTAGGTACAAAGAACATTAGTTTGATTAGTTTGAATGATTAGAAGGGACAGTTTATTAGTAGGTATTGGGTGAAAGATCTCTACAGTACCTCCTAAATGGTATAATCATTGAATATGAAGAAGCTGTCTGCACTATAGACAGAACTCTTCTTAGGATTCCAACATGTCTCTTCTAGGCCAGATGGGTAAAGTGACACCATGAGTTATATGGGGTAAAGTTCAGTGAAAGGCACTAGAGTTATGAAAATGAGATATGGGCTGTACAGTACAATCCACACTGTGGCACACAAGGGCCATATTTCTAGAAGTTCTTTAAAACTGTGGCTCAGCTTCAAAGGTGTTTTATTCTTCAAAATAAAACAATAGGACAGGGGATAAGAAAAAGATGGGAAACATTTGACAACCAAAGACAGAAGAGTGTGGTAGAGAGCAAAGCTTACAGTTGATTATACTGTTAATTTTGGTGACAGAAAAGGGCCTCAGGAGTGGTTGGCTTACACTGTGAAATTGTGAGTAGATTTGAAGTGGATTGCAGAGTTCATATCTGAACCTCAATTATGAGAAGTTACCCATGGCACTGAGGAGAACTCAATTTGTATGGAAATGAATGTTTCAAAAGAGGAAGGAAATGTTATTTCTATGGAAGATGCTGTCATGTAGGAAACAATTTTTAGACCCTTTGCCTGGTAACAGTGCTAATTTTGGGACAGCAAAATTGGAAGTCAACATGGGACTGTTGTGAGCGTGAAGTCCTATTAATTTCTTGGGAAGTCCTATGTGTTGTGAGCCCAGAGATTAAGTCATTAGAAAATTTGTATATATCAATAGATTGTTGTTTTAGGAAGAAAGGTAGTAATGGCAAGGATTTTCTCAAGGCTTCCCCTGTCTTCTGAAAGGCAAAGGATCTGCAACAAAATGGAAAGCACAGCCTTTAAGTCAATCAGGTGTTTCCTACAGATCCTAAATACATTCATATTTATAGCATCTTCAAAAAGGTCATGCTTTCCTAAACTCTTAGGGAAAAAGTAAGAGTGATATCAAATGAAAATTCAAGTAACAGAAAAACCTGTTTGTGAATCAAGCAGAGTTTTGTATGAGGCTTTGCTTCTATAACATCAAGTCAAGGTATATATAACTTGCATGGGCAGTCTTTCTCTTTTATCTTTTTATAAAAGGATTGATTTATTTATGCATACAGAACTGGGGTACAGGCAAGAGATCTGTGAGAGGTGGGAGGAATCACCAGAGACAGAGTGGGGAGCAGAACAGGCAGATGTACTGAAATACACTGCTGAGGGGAACAGTGGGAAGGTCAGGAGAGGTCTACCATGTGGGTCAGCTCCTTGGTCCCCCTAGCCAGGGATTGAACTCATGCTGCAGTCACTGCAGACAGCTTCTATTTTTTAACTGAAGACCTTACAGAAATATTTGAAAAGCTACTGTTAAAGCAAGTTTACAATTTTGATTTAAGAGGAAAGAAAAATGTCATACTCATACTCACTACAGGCTTTTTATTGCCACTTGAAGATTTGCATCCTGCTAGACAAGGTGACAAGTATGTTATTCCATTGTTCCCACAGACTGGTTCCCATTGATTTTTATCACAATTGCAGTCTGAGTTGCAATGAGAAAGTGGTAGATTTTTAGGAATGGCCACTGGATCATTTCTGGAAATAGACAATATGCATATCAAAAAGAGTCAGTGAGAGAGAAAGAGAGAGGGAGAGAATGGAAGAAGTATGAAAAGGGGGGGGGGCAGGAGAGAAAGAGTAATAAAGGGAAAGGGTTATTCTTTAATTAGAAAAATGTGACAAGTGAGGAAGCCATTTTTTTTATTTAGTGCATATTAACTTTTTCACCCTTCATTCTTACCAAGCCATAATTTATGATCGAGACAAAGTAAATTATTAAAATGAAACCAAAGAATACGTAGATAAGAAGTCTCTGTGATTCCATCAAAAAATGTCAAACTTCCTATTTTTTGTTTTTGTTTTTTTTTGAGGTTTGGCTTCTCTTCAATTAGGAAGCAGCTTTAGATTAGGGTTTTGAGTTCACTATAAAGTCTCAAGAATTTCTGAATAATGAACTTGAAAACACAGTTTAAGTATACAAGAAAAGAACTGACATAATCAAAGTAGAATCCCTGTAATCTTTAAAAAAGTCAAAATAGTAGAGTCAGTTGAGGCCAAGAAAAATTCTATATATTTTTTATATGAAGATATATCATATTTAATAATAATTTATGGTAAAATGTGGTTATCTTTACAGAATACAATCTTACATAGCTAACATTACAAAATAATTATTTGTATAATTAAATTTCTCCTTACACATTTCTAAAATAATTCTTTTATTTTCAGTGAAACACTCGATAATAACTGAGTATTAACCAATTGGCTTTAAGTGGGAAAGTAATTTACATGTAGAAAAAGGTAGGTCCAGAAATGAAAAAATTCTAATATCAATAATTTTATTTAAAACCATTTAATATCTAATTCTGTTTGGGAATGTATGACTGGGAGTTATGAAGTGTAGTGTGGGATCAATGACCCATCCAGAACCTATATATACTCCTATGCTCACATTAGTTCTGCCACTTCATGAAATGTGACTACTTTTTCTGCAATCAAATTTTCCATTTGTAAGTCATTGATAATGACATGAAATTCTTAGGAAACTTTTTGGAAAAACGTTCATTTGATCATTCTCAAACATTTTGTCCTTATAGGTTCTTGACACGTTTAAAAAACACTAAAGGCCCCAAAGGTGTCTTCTTCAAATGAGTAATAGATATTCACATGTACAGTATTATTAGACATTAACATTATCTTATTAATAATTATTACATATAATATAAAAATAATGTATCAGAAGACAGAAGCAAAATGTCATTAGCCATATCTTGTGATTTTAGGAAATATCACATTACATTCAGGAGAGGATGAGAATGAAAAAGGTAAACCCCAACTTGGTTATTACAATAAAAATAATTTTACAACATGTTTATCCTGTGATATGAATCCAGACACCCTCAAGCCACATGTAAGGATCTCTTTATAATGCTTTCAGATTCAAACTTACCTCAGCAATTAAAATTTCATAAATGCTGAGTTTCATAAGCTCTTTGTATATAGTGAACAACCCCAACAAAAAAAGGGAAATCCTAAAAAAGACACTACTCCAAAGAGGAAATGCAGATGGCTTACAGGAATATGAAAAAATGTTCAATATGTCTTGTAATAAGGGAAATGCAAATTAAAACCATAATGAGGTACCATCTCATACCAGTGAGAATGGGACACATTAAAACAACCAGCAACAACAAATGTTGACGAGGATGTGGAGAAAAAGGAACTTTCCTACACTGCTGGTGGGAATGCGAACAGGTACAACCACTATGAATACTGTTTGAAGGTTTCTCAAATTGCTAAAAATGACACTTTCATATGACCCAGCAATCCAATCCTAATTATTTAGCCAAAGGATACAAAAACATTGATTCAAAAGGACACGGGCAGCCCCATGTTTATTGCTGTTTTATGTACAATAGGGAAGATGTGGAATCAACTCAAACGCCCAAAAATAGATCACTGGACTAAAAAGATGTGTAAATATACACAATGGAATATTACTAAGTAATCAAAAAGGGTAAACTCATGTCTTCTGTGGCAACATGGATGGAGCTGGAAGGGATCATACTTAGTGAGATAAGCTAGAAAGAAAAAGAAAAATACCAGATGGTTTCACTCATTGTAGGAGCATAAGGGATCAGGAAGGGGAAAAAAAGCATTGTAATAAAGTAAAAATGAAAAACAATGAACAACTATAACCAGACATATTACAGGGGTGCAGAGGGGAACAGGATCAAAACATACGACTATGGTGATGGCACATGGGTGAACTGGTAGTGGAAAATCCATGGGGATTACAGCTAAGATGAAAAATGTACAAAATGAAGAATGATGTAAAAATAAAAAAAGCATAAATACTGACTATATTGGTTCTGTTATTTGTTATGATTATATTATGATTTCTTGAGAGAAATGATCTACATTAAGGAGGCACTCAGAAAAATTTTACTGGGTGAATAAAATACCGTAATTATTTCCCTTGGAATAGGTGGTACAGTTACTAGTTATCAAGAAGCTGGCTTTTGATTTGGAGCCTGCCCTAACAAATGAGAAGCCTTGTAACTAGTGATTTAGGAAAGTATCAGCCTGGAATTATTGTATGGCTTTGAATGTTTCACAGGTTGTTAGTGGAAGGAGAAAGAGGGTATAAAAGTATTGATGCTTTCTTAAGTTATTTACCACTAAAGTTCAACATACTAGTACTCTGAATTTTGACTTACCAGATTGAGCGGTTAGAGACAGGAATAAGGATTTGTTTCTAATAAGAGTAATAGTTGGACATCAAAATTAATGGCAGATAAAGGTTATTCAGTGAGTTTTAGAAAATGTCATTTATATTCTTCTCATGAAGACTGCATTAATTAAGACTAAGAATTTTGGTGTTAAGAACCAAAAATTAAAGTCAGAATTTTCACCTCATATCTCCTTAAACTTGATTTTATAAAATAAGGATTAAAGTACCTATCACTTATTATAAGCATCTAATAAATGATAACTGTTATTATTACTTCCTAAGGAAAGGATAAAGGAGTTTCAATATCTTAAGAAATAGACATTTTATGAACTTATAGTTGAAATTTCTCTCAATTAAATAAAGTTTAGTTAACAAGGCTATCTGCCTTGTTTTCCTTAGATTCTTCTACAATAGACAACTTATATAACTATACAGTTTAAATGAATGATATGCTGATATATACAAACCCATCATAGGTCAAGGTTAGGCCAGCAACTGATTTTCTTTCACAAATTAGCATAAGATTGACTGAAGCCAGTAGGAAGGCGATTACATAGACAGAAAATGAAAATTTGGCAACTTGAATCAAAGTAAATTTGAATCTTTTAACGATATATCCTCCCACTAATAATCCAGTTGCAAAAGATGGTAAGAATATGACTCCTAGAAATGAAAAAAGAGAAAAATTAAAATTATATATTCTGAATTGTTCTTATATAAAAACATAAGGGACGTAAGTGAAATTCTATCTTATTATTTCTTAACTAAAAGGCTTACAGGACAGGATGAAGGTACAGACTACTGTACCAGACAAAATCATTTCATTCTGCCAATGCTGAGAGTTCTCTAAGAGCAAAAGACAGTGACTGAGAATACTGTATTCTCTGAACAGATTGTTTTTGAAGTGCATATTTTTTCCCTGAAAAAAATAACAACAAAAAAAGATTTCCCTGTGCATTAGACTTTCATCTTATTATCTAAAATCTACTCCTTAAAATAACATCACTTCACAATGTAATGTCACTTGTAAATCAATTACTTGATATACATTACACACTGCTTCAAAATGGAGAGTTCTGCTCCTCAAAAACTCACTCAAATTTGCTCAGTACTTTAAAATTACTTGAATTAATATTTCTTTCTTATTCATCCAAACACACATATAACCTGAGATGATAAACAGGCCTGCATATGGTATTAAAAATATTCCCTTATAAGTTTTCCATTGTTTTATATGAGTTATGAAAGCTTTGCATTATACTATTTTAATTTTATAATAAGAAAATCCAGGCTAAGACTTTTATTGGGACTCAAATGACCTTTACAGCTAAATCCTTAAATTGAAGAACACTATCACACAGAATTATTACCTTCTTGTTTACTTATGACCCATTTTACTGAGTAAAAAGTACTGCCCTTAAGAATGTTTTATACTGTGGGTAGAGAAAGAATGGTATAAGAAAATCTTTTCTTCCTAATCAAGTTTTAATATGCACTTGGGAATAGATTTTGTTGCAAACATGTTCTCCAAGTTATGTTTTGAATGATAAACACATCAATGCTGTGTTTAAATTTACTTTTCACTTGGAAATATCAATGTCCTCTTTTTTTTTTTTTTTTGGAAGCTGAGTCCTGATTTCAAAATCTATGAATCCCAGAATTATGATTACATTAAAAAGGATTTGTCTTAGGATAGTAGCACTGAATTATAAGATACAACCAGGCAGATATCATAGCTAAATGTTCTATTCACAAGCAAGTTTTCCTTAGAAACTCATCTCCTAAAAATAACATGAATCTTAGTTTCAGATGCAGAACAATGATGTCACATTTGACATATTTTATAAGATTTGTAAAAAGATAAATGGAAATCAAATTAGCTAAAATATAAAATCACCTTCACAATATAATGCCACGTGGAAATCAATCAGTTGATAGTAGACTGCAAATCAAGCAAATCAGTAAGCAGTATTTCTTACCAAGCAGAATGTTAGCTTCAGATGGTGTATGATCATACTGTTGTTCTAAATATTTAAAGTTATAAGTAAGACCACCAATAAAGCTGTTGAAGTGCAGCAAAGTTGCACCCAATATACAAACATAAAGAGGATTGCTAATGATGTTTTTCAAGGACTGAAACAAACCTACAAGCAAAAGTAAAGAGAATATTATAATGCAACTTAAATATCTGTTGATCTTAATATTATAAATTTAAGTTACATAATATTTAGAATTACATAAAATACAGTTAAGTGTATATTCTCTTGTTAACAGTTTTTAATAATGTTTCTTCAGTGTTTTCCATACTCATATATACTCCTATTACTATTTATTTACTTAGTTCATTTTATATCAAAATGGGATTATACATATGTGTTGCTTTGCAGCTTGCTTTCTTCATTTGATTTCATATTTGGTTATTCTTGTAATCTACCATGCACATGCATTCATTTATTCATTCACTTAGCAAATACTTGGTTTTCAACTGAGTAACAGACAATACTCCAGATACTCAAGAAATAAAGTGGAATAGGACATAAAATGTCTCATATTTATTGATATTTAATAATATGCAGTCATATAAATATTATACCTATATAAATATGTATTTTAAAATTTATATTATTTTTTACATCATTGTTCATTTTTGTACAATGAATGCATTTTCATCTCAGTTATAGTCCCTATAAAATTCCTACCACCAATTCACTTGTGCACTATAGTCCCTTGTATGTTTTGATCCTGCTGCTCTCTTAGTCCACTGCAGAATGTCTCTGGTTTAGATTTGCCTGTTGATTTTTGATATTTACTTTATTATAATAACTTATCACCTCTCCCCCACTCTGATCCCTTATTTGAATCTTTCACATCCCTCCTATAAGTGAAACTATTTGGTATTTTTCTTGTTCTTTCTGGCTTATTTCACTGAGCACTATCCCTTTCAGCTCCATCCTTGTTGCTATGAATGGCATGAGCTTATCTTTTTGATTGCGGAGTAATTTTCAATCTATTTTTGAGCATTTCGGTTGTTCCCATAGCTTATCTATTGTAAATAGTGCTGCACTAAACACAGGGTGCAAGTGACCTTTTGAATTAATGTTTCTGTGTTCTTTGGGTAGATTCCTAGTAGTGGAATTGCTGGATGGTACGGAAGCTCCACTTTTAGCAGTTTGAGGAACCCCCACACAGCTTTCCATAGTGGTTGGACTAGTGTGCATTTCAGGAGAATTCATTTTTTTGCTACATATTTGCCAATATTTGTTGTTGCTAGTTTTTTAAATATGTGCCATTCTCACGGGCATGAAGTGGTACCTCATTGTGGTTTTGATATGCATTTCCATGATTATGAGTAATATTGAACATCATGTTGAGTCTGTAAATTGCCCTTGGTAGGATGGCCATTTTGGTAATCTTCTAATCCATAAGCAGGGGATGTCTTTCCATTTCTGTGTAAGAGTGTGTGTGTGTGTGTGTGTTTCATTTCTTTTAACCATGTCTTACAATTTTGTTTGATAGGTCCCTTACCTCTTTTGTTAGGCTTATTCCCAAGTATTTGATTGTTTTTGTTTCAATTACAGAAGGGATGATTTTCTTGATTTCTTCTTCTTCAGATACACTGTTTACATTTTTGTATTGATTTTGTATTCTGCTACTTTACTAAACTGATTATTTTGATTAGTATTGTGTGGAGCTTTTAGGATTCTCTGTGTATATTATCATATCATCTATGAATAGTGACAGTTTTACTTCTTTCCCTACTTAGATTGCTTGTATGTATTTCCCTTGTCCTGCTCTGGCTAGGACTTCCAAAATTATATTAAAAATCAATGGTGAGAGTAGATATCCTTGCTTTGTTCCAAATCTTAAGGGAAAGGCTTTCAGTTTTTCACCACTATGGTAAAAAACTATGGGCTTGTCATATATGGTCTTTTATATAATATAAATATATATTGCTTCTTGGCTTTTTGGCTAAGATCAAGTAGTATACCTACAATACTTAAATATAATACTTATATAAATATAATAGTAGTATTTGATAATATAAATACATTAATAA